CTGTGGTCTCTTTATCCACAAAGACAATTTATCCTTGCTCTCTCCGCTTCCCTCCCTTCACGAAATTTTATAATAGTACACTTTTTTTTCTGGCTTAGTTTCTGGGATTTTGTGATGTAGAATTGACAGAATTGTGGCAGACCGAGAGAGCAGTATGTGGAGGTAAAAGTATAAAGATACGGAGGGAAAAATGATATGTATGATTTGGGATACCAGGGAAAATTTGGAGGAAGTGGTGGGATGGTGAAAAAGAGGAGTGACTTGGAGGTCAGATGAGTGTATAACAATTGGAGCCTGAAAGGAACTGGGGGAAAGAGAATTTTTCATGAGCATTTCTCTGGGTCATGAATTGCATCTGCTGTGATGCTGCATGAGAAATGCAGATGAAGACTGGACCCAGGGGACCCTGTAATTTACTTGGGTCATTGCTGAATGACCTCATTTGATTATCAGAACAATCCCACATGGCATTTTTATTCTACCCCACAAATGCATCCCAAAGCCTAGAGAGGTTACATGGCTTGCCCAGCATCACACAAAACAAAGATCTGTCACTCAACAATAACCACGCTGTTGACAACTGCTTTGAGTTAGTTCCAATTCTGCATCTTTGGATGGAATCTTCACTGTTCCTTGCTATGTCGCTGGGTGATCCTGGGTAAATGATTTCCTCCCTGAATGCACAATGACTATCTGTAAAACGAGTGTAATAACTCATAGAGTGAGGGGTAAGATTAATGTGAGATAATACAAATAGAGTGCTTATTTCAACTCCTGGCACCTAGGAACCTTTCGATAAATATAAGCTGCTATTCTAGTTATTCTTAGCAGTTGCATTGCTGTTAAGGGCCTTGTCACCAACGGTGTTGTGCAAACAGTTATTATTCATGGTGTATTTGCTAAGGGTGTTGTTTTATGAAGTCAGCATCGTTCCGGTTGGTCCATGGAAACAGAGAATTCACCTCAAGTTGTCATAATGGAGCGAGGGCTGAACTGGGCATCCACTGCCCATTGGGGAAGACTTAACCATAGGGCCCTGCATCACCCCTTTCTTTCTCCAGTGTCTGCATGCTCCAGTTGGGCTCTTAATGTGAAGTACTTGAATAAGGAGGGGAAGGAAACATTTCATCTCAGGAGGTGGACAAGGAAAGGAAATTGGCCTCCCTTGGTGTGTTAAGCATTGAAAAATGAGTCCCTAAAGAAATTCCAGGTTTGTGCCAGAACTATGAATTTGTATGCAGTTTCTCAACTCAGCACTATTGACATTTTGGTCTAGTTAATTCTTTGTGGGGGACGGCTGCTTTGTGCATTGTGGGATGCTTAGCAGCACCTCTGACCTCTATCCCCTAGAGGCCAGTAGCACCCCTCCAGTGGGGACTTGAAAATGTCTCCAGACATTGCCAAATATCCTCTGGGGTGCAAAATCATCCCCAGTTGAGGTATAGAGAGACATGAGACTGTAGGAGACCCCAGCTGCAGCATGGACACTCACCATTGACATAGAGGCTGTCTCTGTCCAGGATGTAGTGGCCCAGCCAGGTGACACCATGAGTCAGTCGGCTTAGTTCCTGGTACAACAGCTCTCTGTCCAGTCCCGGGCCCTGGGGGTCAGCATGGTAGGTGCAGACGGCATCAACTCCGGTGGCTTCCCTGTCCTTCTCATATCTGGAGTGATAGGGACGCGGGAATGGGGACGTACAGAGATGTGGGCGAGTTGTACACTTTGTTCAGCTCTCTCCTTCAGATTGACCCCGAACCCTTAGTTTTATGACATCTCTCCTTTACTGGGTGGTCTGGTTTCTCAGGCACATTTCTTTCTGGGTCCTCTCTATCCAGGCCGCCTCCTGTTCTGCAAAGTGATGGATCTCCAGGGCCTCATCCTCAACCAACCTTTTTCCTTTTGCTCCATTCTTCTTGGGTCATTTCATTCATACTCATTATTTCAACTACCAGCTCTATTACCATAACAGATAGATCTAACATAATAGATCGTAATAGCCTGATCTCACTCTGTCTGGGTGAGACCTCTCTCCTGAGCTCTGTCCCATGTAACCAACAGCCTCAGGGATGCCCTCCAGACCCCTTATATTCCATATATCCCAAATTAAGGTTGTCATCCTCCCCTCCCAAATAAAACACTATTTGTCCTCTCATATTTCCATATGAGTGCCAGAGCCAGAGATCTAGGAGCTTCTGGGATCTTCTCCTATTCTTTCTCCCAAATCCAAGCTGTATTCAGGTCCGGTCCAGCTTCTCAATGGTCCACCCATCTTCTGACTCGTTATCATCTTAAATTCATTCCCCCCCCCCCCCATTTGCCAGCACTCTACTTAGAATAAATCACATTATGTCAGGCCTCTGCTTCCAACAACCTCATGGTTCCCCACAGCTCTGAGTAATTATAACTAATATTTGTGGGACACCTACTAGGTGCTATGTTTTACCTTTACTATCTCTTTTTATCCTTTCGGCAACTCTCTGAGGGAGATGCTGATATTGTTCCCATTTTGCTTTTTAAAAAGTTATTTACTTATTTTTGGCAGCTGGCCAGTACTGGGATCCAAATATTTTTTAAAAAATTAAATAACAGCTTTCTTGAAATATAATGTGATATTTTGATATATATTGTGAAATGATTACTACAGTCAAGATAATTAACATATCCATTACCTCCCATTATTACCTCATTTTTGTGTGTGGTGAGAACCCTAATATCTACTCTCTTAGCAAATTTCAAGCGTATTGTGTAGTATTATTGACTATAGTCATTTCCATTTTATAGTTGAGGAAACAAAGTCATACAGACATTGAAGAACTTCTGTGACATCACACAGCTAGTGACAGAAACAGGATGTGACTTCATGAATTTGGACACTAGAGATCATTAATGCTTAACCTTTTGCTGTACAAAATACTATGAAAACTTCTTAGTACGGCTTTTAACCCCAACTTCAGCCTGAACTCCTGACGATATCCACTCATCCTGATCATTAATGCTTAACCTTTTGCTGTACAAAATACTATGAAAACTTCTTAGTACGGCTTTTAGCCCCAACTTCAGCCTGAACTCCTGACGATATCCACTCATCCTGGAATTCATCCTGGCTCATGCAACTGCACACTTCCGTGCACCTGTCCGTCCAGGCCCCCAGTCAACCGACCTCCCACTCACCCTTCCTCCTTTTCTTGTCTCTGTCTCCTCTCTCTGCTCCCTCCCTCCTGCCTTCCCTCCCTTCTTTCCTCCTTCATTCATTCCTTTCTTCCTTCCTTCCCTCCTTTTTTCATTCATTCATTCATTC